CAACAAAACAGGCGCCGGCTTCTCCTGCAGCAGTGGGTACCTCTGTTCCCTGTCTGCCTGCTGCCATGAAAACCCACTCCCTGCCTAGGATAACAAACACATCTGCAGTTCTTTGCCTCTTTCTGCTGCCTTTCCAAGCATTTGCCCTCCTCCGATACTGCCTGGTCTCTCTCGGAGGATGGAGTTCTACTCTGCCAATCCCCTTGCATCTGGCAATTTTCAAATAAGTGCTTGACGCTGCATTCTAAAGGGACTGCCATCTCCCCCTCTTCTTCTGCTCTGGCCAAGCTGAAGAGAGGTTGGGTGAGGGTTGTGGGGAAGGGAAGGGTAAGAAATCCCTCCTGCTCTGCTGCTCCCCATGGTGGTGAACATAAAAGGGGACTTTGCCAGGAAAGCCCTCGCCAGTTATCTGGTTATACTGTATTTACAGAGGATATTTCAGTTCTACATCTTCAAACTACTTTGCCAAAAGCAGGAAAGCTGGTTGCTTGGATTTAGTCAGATGATCTGGGTTCAGTTCCTGTCTCAGCCACGAACTCCCAGTGTGCCCTTGAGCGTGTCATTAAAAAAAAAAAAAAAAAGTTCGGTGCCTCAGTTTCCCCTTCTATAAAATGGGGATCAAAAGACTCCTTTTGCTCACCCATTATCTGTCTTGCCTATCTAGATTGCAAGATCTCCAGGGCAGAGGCTGTGTGTGTGTGTGTGTGTGTGTGTGTGTGTGTGTGTGTGGCATGCACACACACACACACATGCAGTGTCTGGTACCATGGGGCCCTGATCTCAGACAGGGCCTCTAGGCACTGCTATAACCCCCATCTTAAATGATGATGATCCCCATTTCACAGAGATGCCAGTGCCTGTTTGAGATCTCCCAGTGGATCCATGGCAGAGCCAGGGATAACTTCCAGAGCTCCCCACTCCTGCTCGGATACTCTGTGCTCTGACTCCCGCTTGGCCTGATGGTTAGTGCGATGTCTGGGACGGGCTGACCCCACACCGCAGGAATGAGTGCCATTGTCTGCAAGTTAACCCAACCCGCAATGTCCAAGAGCTGGCGCCATCACCTTTATTTCACCCACCGTCTTTTTCTCGGTGTCCTATTCGCTAAATCCTTTCCCAGCACTAGGTCATCGGTAAATACTGAAGTGGCTTGGGAGAGACACCTTGCTTCCCCTGCCCCCAACAGTGAGAGAACTGTCTATTTCCAGACCCCCATCAAACCCCCCCAAAATGCTAACACGCTCAGAGTGCTGACTGCAAACAGAGAGAAGAGATTCCATAACCCCTCCAGGGACTTTGCTTTTCATTGGACGTGGAATGTGCTCAGGCGCTAGGGTGATGGGCAGCAGGATAAAACCCTAAGAAATGGGATATATGCTTTTATCCTAGCCCCTTGTTCTACCTGGGGAAGGAAGCCCAGCAAAACCCATATCCAGAACACTGCTGTGCTGCTGGCCATGGTAGTGGAGCTGCCTGCTGTCTTATATTAATGAGTTTGTAGCCCCACCATGTGCCTGCTAAGGAAATAGCATGTCTGTGTACTCCCAGCTTTGGGCTAATGCTGGGACTCCTTTGAGTCAACATCATTTGATTCATCAGTGACAACACTAAATGGGTCGAATACACATCAGGTCTTTCACCATTGGCTTGGCGTTGGAGTTGTGGCAGGAATGGATTTGGTCCAACATCTGGTAAACACAGCGACTTCAAGAGCTTTATAAACTAAATAGAGCACACTCCAAAATTCAGCCAGTGAGGC